TTTCACTTACAAGGACACTCACGATTGCGGTTAGGACCCACCCAGATAACCCAGGATAATATCCCACCTCAAGATCCTTAACTTAATCACACCTGCAAACACCCTTTTCCACATCTGGTGGTTCTGGGGGTGCGGACCTGATACTCTTAGAAGCTACTATCCAATTTACTGTAACTATCCAGCCTAACAAGTCCTGGAACCAATAGTATTTAAGATTAATATTTACGATTACAGCTTCTGCCTTGTTTCTGTGATCATGTGGATCTGTGACACCCTCCAATGGCGGGAGAACTTCCCAAAGATACAGATACATAGATACCCATAGATCGTCACCACATTGTGCCACTCAAAGGATCCATGCTGCATTCGGTGGGAAAGGCATGTCCTGGAATTGAGCAATACTGTGGCTCCAAGTATTACATTACATTGAAATGGTTTCATGTCTGACCCAAATACCCAGAGCTGTGCTGGGAAAGGAAGGATTCCTTTAAAATCAGCCTCTGGGACCAAGAATATACTCCCCCAATCATCTTCTTCCTCATAATAACACACTGTCAACCACTAAATTTTTCCTTTAGTTCTTAAACAAATTGCATCTTCTATTTCAACCACCTTGTATTCACAACTTGAGATTTAGTTCTGTAGAACTCCCCAGATGGGCACAATTTATTTCCTGAAAGGAGATTTTATGATTTTCCCCCTTTTGAAAAATGTGTGTTTGTTTTTGAGAGCGCGTGCACATGCAAGAAGGGGAGGGGCAGTGAGAGAGGGGGACAGAGGATCCGAAGCAAGCTCTGTGCTGAACCCTGAGATCATGACCTTAGCCGAAGTCAGACACTTAACCAACTGAGCCACCCAGGTGCCCCTTATGATTTTTCTGAGTGAGCATTGTGATAGGTGCCAGGAATGCAATGGGCAGGTGGAGGAGACAAAAGTAATAATAAGTAGATGATTTCAATATAACATGGCGACTGAGAACTAACTCCATCACCTTCCACCACCCCCATTTGGACCATTTCTCACCTTGATCACTGCACTGTCTCCTAACAGGCCTCTACTTCTGCACTGGCCCCATGTTATGGACTGAATGCTTGTATAGAACCCCCCTCCACCCAAACTGGTATGTTGAATCCCTACCCCCTAATGTGATGGTAGTAGGAGGTGGGCTGCACGGGAGGTGCTTAGGATGAGATGAGGCATGAGAGTGGAGCCCTCCCGAAGGCATTAGTGCTCTTATAAGAGTCCCAAGAGTGCTCGCTTCCCCTCTCTGCTCTCCACAGTGTCAGGATAAGTCAGCAGTCTACAGCCTGGAAAAGGATCCTCACCAGATCCCAGCCACGCTGTCACTCTGATCTCAGACCTCCAGCCTCAAGAAGTCAACTTCTATTGCGTACAAGCCACCCAAGTCAGTCTCTGGCACTTGGTCACAGCAGTCGGAACAGACTAAGACACCCCACTCAGTCTATTCTCTGTAACACAGCCAAAACAATCCTGTGACAACCCATGTCAAACCAAGTCATATCCCCTGCACAGAACCTACCAGGGATTTCCCATCTCACTTGGAGTAAAAGTCAAAATCTTTGCAAGCCTCCCAAGACTCTGCCGGTCTGCTAACTGCTTCCTCTCCTCCTTAACTAAACCCAGAGCACAATCCTTCCTCAGGGCTTTCGTCCTTAATGTTCCCTCTGTGCCGTAAGCTCTCTCCCCAGAACCTGCAGGACTCACGCTCTTAACCTCTTTATGATGCTGACTCCCGCATCATTCTCAGTGATGCTTCCTCTGATTGCTGGATTAAAAATTGCAGTGTATTCCCTGCAATGTACAACCTAATATCTTTCTCTCCTTTGTTTTTTCCCATAACATTTATCATTGGCCAATTTATTATATGTCTTACTCATTTTTTAAAGTGATGTATTTTCCCTGTGTACAATGTAAGTTTCCTGAGAGCTGGGATTATTGATGGTTTTGTTCACTGTCTATTTTGTATACCCACTATCTAGAATGCTGACATCGAGTAAATGATGAACACATATTTGTCGGATGGAAGGGTAATGAATGGCTGGATGGATGGATGGGAGGATGCATAGATGGAAAGATAGGTGGATGAATGGGTGGATGTCTACACAGGGTATTACGGGAGTGAAAGATGAGGACACACAACCTAGCCGGAGGCAATGGGCTTTAGGAAGGCAAATACTCCACTCCCCTGGTCACACTCTTCATGGGTTAATTAGACAATGATTATTAGGTCTCTTTCCCACTTTGATTCTTCATGACAGTTTTAAGTGTTAATTTTAATTTTTCCAAAAGCTATTTTTCTAGATAGCCTAATTGTCACTGCATAAAAGGTCAGCCTATTGGGTCTCATCTTTTAATAAAAGAAAAATGAATAAGTCACCTAGAGTCCAACAATTCCTTTATAATATTTTGACAGAAGATAACTTAAAGGATTTATAGGGAGCCTTTACGCATTGCACAAGATTTTCATGGTCACTATCCATTTTATTCCACAGTGTTATAAAGACTCCACTATATTTTACAGGCCTGGTTTTTATAAAGTTAACCTATGTTAGTTACATCCTGTAACATTTTGTGTATTTCTGGCATTAACTGTTTGTTACAAGAGCTTTCCTCTGTATGATTCAGCGAATGAATCATTTGGTCCTATCTTTATCTCGGTGGTCATATTCACCTAAAGTTTTCCATAAAACACTTTTTAATTAAAGAAGCAATTTAATTGTTGAAGATATATCATTCCCAGTGCATTTTCCTCTATGTGGTACACACACATGCACACACAGGCGTACCCACACACACATACAACGTAAAGTGGTTCTTTAAATTCTGAATTATTAAAACAGAATCTAGCAAATACTCTAGGCTGAAACATATTGACAGCATACATGTTTTTATACCACTACACAACAAACATCCCACACTGCATCATCTGTTCTGATCCTTGCTTCTTCAGACATCCTGCAATATTTTCTTCTTCTATTCCAATAGTATGAGCTCACCAAAACAAAGGTATTTTGTTTGTCACTATAAATACTTTTTATGTATTACTTCAACCATCTTTAACAGCATCAGGAAGAGCAAGTATTTACCCAGTCATATGAGGCTTTTTTTTTTTTTACTAACAAGTAAAAAATCTCAAAAGAGGCTTTTTTAAAAAATTTTTTCTAATGTTTATTTTATTTTTGACAGAGAGAGACAGAGCATGAGTGGGGGAGGGGCAGAGAGAGAGGGAGACACAGAATCGGAAGCAGGCACCAGGCTCCCAGCTGTCAGCACAGAGCCCGACGCGGGGCTCGAACCCACAAACCGCGAGATCATGACCTGAGCCGAAGTCGGACGCTCAACTGACTAAGCCACCCAGGCGCCCCTCAAAAGAGGCTTTTAAATATTTGTCAGTAAATTTGGCAAACATTTTAAGTACTGTTGAGGGGCTCCTGGCTGGCTCAGTTGGCAGAACATGTGACTCTTGCTCTTGGGATTGTAAGTTCAAGCCCCATGCTGGGCGTAGAGATTCCTTAAAAAGAATAAAATCTTAAAAAAAAAAAAAAAAAAGTACTGGGGCACCTGGGTGGCTCAGTCGGTTAAGCATCCAACTTTGGCTCAGGTCATGATCTCACGGCTCGTGGGTTTGAACCCCACATTGGGCTCTGTGCTGACAGCTCAGAGCCTGGAGCCCGCTTTGGACTCTGTGTCTCCCTCTCTCTCTGCCTCTCCCCTGCTCATGCTCTGTGTCTCTTTCTTTCAAAAATAAATAAACATTAAAAAACAATAAAGTACTGTTGAGAATCACACGTCTCTACCCACCACTGGTGGGGGGGGGTTGGTAAACTGTAGAGGTTTGTTTCATGTTCTAGGTGTTTAGTTTTTAAGTGAATTATTAATCACAGTAACTTCCTAATGTCCTTGAGCTTATATTACAAGACACAATGGATACTTGGGTGACATTCATCATCAAGAATAGGGAAGGTAATTCACTTTGCAAAAATGTTTTGGCAACTTGCTAGCTTGGATGAGATTGTGGTTGTTTTCGGTATTGTATGATGGCTGACAATGAGCATACACCAGCAGTAACAGAAACATCGCTTGGCTGTTTCCTGGGCTTGGTGCGTGCTTGCGTCACTAACATTACCCCCACTGATCATTTCTTTGCAAGAATCATTCTGGAAGTTGCTTGTTCACTCTGTCAGAGGAAGGAAGACAATGAAATCTTTAAGTTAAACACGGGGCAATGTAAAGCAATGTGCTGAAAGTGGACAAGCAAGCCAGGGGGGGTCTCTCTGCCCCTCGGGGATGTGGGCAGCCCCTCAATCCTCGGGAGACCACATGGGGAATATGTGATGCAGGGATGCCTGACATACAAAAAAATGACAGAATGTGCTAGGCTCAGTCCGTATTTAAAATGTTGGTAAAGCTTAATTTTTTTTTTGCTTTTTCACTTCTTCTTTTGTATTTTTTAGAAAAAAAAACCTAAATAATTTTCTTTTTGCAAGCAGTAGATTATCTTGTGTACTCTCTAGAGTATAGTGGGCCACTTATTTTAGGGGCCACTGATCTAGTGGGAAGAGTACTAGCCACTTAGAGGGAAATTTCCTCATAAGCCTGCCAAGACAATGGTCTGTAAACTAAAAAGCCACAGCAGTGAAATAAATGATTTTTACTGTTCAGGAAGATCTGTCTACCTGTGTCACTTAAATTATCTTAACCTAAGTCCATTGCCTTTTTGTGCACTCACTCTCAAAGCAATCCCCAATTCCCCAGAGAATCAGAATTGCGATAACCTGATAGACGAAACCTACCAAAGGATATCTGAAACCCTGAGTAGATGACTGCTTTGTAGCCTTTTCCATGAACCCCGAGAACCACCTCCTGAGGTCACAGACACCACACCCCCGCCCCCCAGACATCTTCTCTTCTGCCCCAGGAGTCAAGCCCACTGAGCCCTCAGCACAGCCCGCTCAGTGGGAACTGCCATGTACTCCTTCTGACCTCATCTAGAATACTGCAGAATTAGATGACCAACCATGGTTCACAGTGGGCTCCACTCCCATCATTTCAGCCTGAACCCACAGAAGCCCTAGTCCTTGTCAAGAAGTCCAAATTTCTCAGGACTCCAGAGGCATAAAGATTTTCACAAAGCAGCCCTGATTCTTAGAGTGTCTCTTTTATCAGCAACAATGGAAACATTCTCCCTTATGTTTGCCAGTACAGATAAAGTCCTGTTGAACAAAGAGTCCTCTTGAACAAACCAGATCTGCCTCTAGGTTTTGCCAGGGCTGTCTCCTCAGCACAACTCTCCAGACCAAAGAGGAAAGAACATATATGGAGTGGTTCCTATATGCCAGACTTCTCCATCTGGTCTGCATTTGAAGGTAGGTTATATCTCATTTACATGCACTCCACCCTCAATAACAAAGAAATGCAAATCCTCCTTTCTCTATCCCCTCCAGTGGAAAGAAACACTCCTCTCCCCTTCTCCCTCCTTCTCAATCTCCAGGCCCATAAACCCAGGGGCCTCCTATGGGGTCTCTAATAGCCTGACCCTTGTGCCCAAGGCAGGGAGTTGAGACCCATACATGTGACAAAGCATCTTCTTTCTCTGCCCTCAAAAGTACATTGCATTTGATTCTCTTTATCTTGATTTCTACAATTTTTTTTTTGAGTGAAAAGGAGAGAGAGAGAGAAAGAGAGAGAGAGAGAACCCACCCACGCAAGCAGGGGAGGCACAGAGGGAGAGGGAGAGGGAGAGGGGGAGAGAGAGGGGGAGAGGGAGAGAGAGAGAGAGAGAGAGAGAGAGAGAATCCCAAGCAGGCTCCACACTGTCAGTGCAAAGGTGGACGTGGGGCTCAATCCTATGAACTGTGAGATTGTGACCTGAGCCAAAATCAAGGGTCAGACGCCTACCCAACTGAGCAACTCAGGCGCTCCGCCACAATAATTGTTTTTGTTGTTTCCCAGCACATAGGAAGTTCGACAATCAGAAACAATTTCCTTTTCATAATGACAGTAAAATGTTAGAATCAATACATGGGTGACCAAGTCTATTGAATTTATGGTTCTATTTACAGTGAAAATAAAATCTAACATAGCCCCCAAAGAACTAGGCTGCCTCAGGTAGCAATTGCATCAAACCTGAAATATGAGAAATAGGTTATGTTTGTTGTTTTAAAGGAACACCTGACTCCAGGGGCCTACTCAACAACAGACATGTTTGAGATTAATGAGGATTTTTCCTTATATAAACAGTGAAAACTCCAACATAAATATTGTGCATTCTGACCTCCAGATTCCTTATAGACAACTGTGTTCTTGTCACCCCTGAGAACCTGGTCATGGCCAGGGGTCTGAATAGATGGGGACTCATCATTTACCTGCCAGATCTGAAATGACCAGGTCAGCCATATCTGTCCTGCAGAGGTAAGTCTTTCACTGTTATTTTTAGAAAAGTGCCCAGCTTGGCAAACCATCGGTTTTCAGCCACCACCACCGCACCCCCCCACCCCCCCACCCCACAGCCTGCATCAGGAGAGACTACAAGGTCATGGTAGCTTGCTCTTAAGATTCTTCGTTGCTACAGCTTCCCCTTGCACTCTGAGAATCTGCCCGGGCCTCAGTTTCCCCATATGTCAGATGAAGGAGTCAGACTAGCCAAGTGCAGCTCAGATTTTAATGCAAGACACAAATCCCCTGGGGATCTTGTTGAATTGCAGATTCGAATTCAGTAGGTTTAGGGTGGGGCCTAAAATTCTGCATTTCTAGCAAGGTCTCAGGGGATGCTAATGCTGCTGTCCGTTGCATGGACACACTTTGAGTAGCAAGCAGTTAGATGACTTCTAAAGAAACTTCTCGTGCAGCAGTTTTTTCCTATTCAAAATGGTGCAAAAAGGTTAAGCAACAAATGCTGCAACATAATACAGAAAAGCTAAATATCTAAAGAGTGAAGTCTCTTATCCTTAACCCAGTTCAGCAGACTGTCTAATCTGCTTTGGCCAGGACTGTTAATAGGTTAGTTTAACCAAGCACATAGGATCTCCAATGTCTACATATTTATTCACCTTTTTTCCCCATGACTAATGAAAATGAAATTCTTTTGCTTTTTTTTTTAGAATGCTGTTGCCTCAGGAAAATTCAATAATTGGCCCCCAACTCAGACATCGTGAGGCTGAACTGTTATCCAAACTGGAAAGGAGAGAGAGACAGACAGACAGACAGACAGGCAGAGAGGTATCTGAAGGTGGTGAGTATCCCAATTTAAAATAAAATTCATAATTCTCAAAGAGTGAGGAAAACCGTCCCCCTTCTCTTACCTTAAGTTTGGGCTGAAAGGAATAGTCAGCAGACGAGAAAAGCAACTGATCTGAATGAATCTGGGAGTGGTAAAGCTGGCATTCAACTTTCTCATTCTGGATGAGAGACTGGCTTCTGTGACTTGTAAGAATTTATAGGAAGTTAATTGACCACCTGGGACAGATGACCATTGTTTTGTAATAACCCCAGGGAAGGTAAGTCCATTCTTCCCTCCATAACTGGCAAGGAAGAGGTAGAAAAGGGACGTTATTGGTGTCTTCTGGGGAGGGGGGGGGGGGGAAGATTTGTAAATGCTGGAATGGTGCCAGGGTCCATATGTTCAGAACTGGCTGGAGGAAATACAGGGAGCATGGCACAGAGGAAGGAGGGTGTATAAGTGTATGCAAGAGGCATTAATCACCACATGTACGTCACAGCTTTCTCTACAGTCCACTTGTCTGATGTGTGAGGACATGCCAGTGCCTCCCTGAGAGGACGACTGTCACCCAGATGCCCAGGAAAAGCCTGTAGGCTTAACATGCCCAAAGCCTGAGCTCATGGGAGCCAGGCTTCAACTTCTGCTGGAAACATCTTTTCCACCAGCAACTAGGCTTTTTCCGTGCTCGGTGCACACACCAGGTGTGGTTAGGCCACCTGCCGGGCCTTCAGTTTCCCAGTTTCCTGGTTCCTCAGTCCTCTCCTTATCCCAACTGGAACTCCATGCTGGCCCTGCTTTAGGTACTGATCTGCTCAAAAACCCATTTGAAAGCCTTCCCCATCCTTCTGGGCTGCTGACTAATGCAACAAAGGGATCTAAACCGATGGGTAGCATGTATATAGCATTATCCCTTCTAGGAATAGCTTGCATTTGAACAAGGTCTTTGAACAGTGGGGCAATGCCTTACCCCCGAATAGTAACTCCAATAATATAACACAATGAACCCATAGAAGAAACGTGATGGGGAAAATGAGTTGAAGACACTTTGTCTACCCATCCTTCCTGAAGGACTAGGTTGATATCAGCCCAGGTTCTGGCCAAGTTAAACTGTACCAAGGGTTTTGAGACAGGGCTCCTTTTCAATATGGCTGGTTTTATCACTTCCACCTGTTGTTGATCGGAGAGGGTTAGAGGTGGGTGAGTGCAGTGAAGGTGCTGGTCAAAGCATCTGGAGGCCCAAGTCCTGAGCTTGCCTCTGCTTCTCATGCGCTGTGAGATCTTGGACAAGTCACCTCATTTCTCGCTAGCCGTGACATCTTCCCAGAAACAAATCTAGGCTACACAAGGAGGAGCCTGAAGAGTTGGTGAACAGCTACCTGTCTGTCACCCAGAGTCTCCTCAACCGAACATACCTGGTGACCAAAGATGACAAATTATAGAACGATATTGAACAGTGGTAAGGCAGAATCACATTAGGCCTCGCAACACAAAGGCTGGCCTCACCTGGGGTCTACAAAGGATCCCTGGTGTTCATAAAAAGCATGGTGAGATCCAACCTGCACTACTACTGGATGCCAGAATCACATAGAAAGTCTCACACAAAGACATGGAGTTCCTCCTGAAAATAATAAATCCATGGATATGATATAAACATTATTTATCCAATGTAGAACTACATTTCATACTGAAAGGAGGAGGCCGGGCTATGGCTCATGGAAGCTTCTCTTTTTCTATTTGAAGAGCAAAGATGAATACAGTCAAGTACAATAAGGGGATTAAGAAAGACACACTGGATTTAACCTATTTCTCTCTTGGCCCGGGACACAGCAGTCATTCTTTTCCACCGTTACTATCACTAATCAGACAGTGACCCAGTTTCAGAGGACACAGGCATTTAGAAACACAAATGAAAAGATATGCAAATTGTGTTCAGTTTTCGGAGGAAAGTTCAATGAAATAGGTCAAAGTATCTGAACCTACACCTCTTTCTGCTTCTGAGCAGTACTCACAGGGAGATTTAGTTATTTTCCTGGGCATTGGTGCCTTCACAATTTGCCCATTGCCTGGGCAAATGTAGAAACAGGCCTGCAGCAGTAGTTTCCAAACTGTGTCCCGGGGAACCCCTTGTAGACTCAAATGGAGCAAATCAATGGACATTAGTCCTCATATCCAACTCCACTTTTGTCTCTCTGACATACCACACTTCGGTGTAAAATTTTGTTTAAATAAAGGATTCTTCGGCTAAACAACATCTGAAAACCCCCGGTAGACATCACCGCTCATTTCCAATTCTAACATTTCATGATTAGTCCTCATGACTAGAACAATCTCAGTAAAAGCCTTCATTCATCCCACAGTAAGACAACTTTTTCAGCTCTAAATTTTAAATTACCGTTAAGAAAGCAAAACTAGGTTGGCCCAATCTCTTAATTCTCTGTATGTGTCTATCAGGAAGTATTTAAGTCTTAAAGTTAGTCTCAGTCGTGTTGAAGAATATACAATGAAATCCTTCATGGCCCGAAGAGAAGAATCTTGGTAGATTCAAAATAATTATTAGTTAAATCAAATTTTTATATATCAAATGTAGATAACCCTAATTTCAAAAATCTCTAATAAATTTGATTTTTAGTGTGACCTCTAACAGTTGTTCTCAAGCCCAGCACCTGCTTTGTCAACCCTGCTGCTTTGATAGAGTTAAGGGATCCTTCTTGTACCAAGATGTGGGGGAACTTTCCATTGCCAATTGCTTCACTGAGATGTACTTTTACAACACCCCAGAGCAACAATAATCTTATTTTCCCATTAGTAACCAAGATATGCTTTCTCACAGTTGCTATTCTTCCTGTGATCTTGAACCTGCATGCCCTGTCTTTGGTTGATGCCATTCCTGAGCTATAAACCCACTGAGAATAAAACAGAACCTTCTCAGTATCTAGCATGGTTCTTTGTGTACAATAGATACCCAATAAATAAGTAAACATTAGTGTAAGACACACGTGACAAAGACCAATATATGTAAATCAAACCACTTAATTCTATTACCTGCTAACATTTGGATATCTATGCAAGTCCATCATATCTTGTTATATAAACAAAATGTGCCTAGGAACTCCCCAAGTAGGAACTTTGGCTCCAATTTTCAACAGCAAACGTTACTTCCTACTTTTTTTTAAATCTGGACACAATCACTGCCACTGGGGCTCCCACTGGTGTTCACCCCCTCTCATTACTGATAGGCGTCACCATTCTCCTCCACAGACAAACCACTGAGATTACAAATATAAATCTTGTTCCCTTAGCCAGCGTTCCCACCTACCTGCAAAAATACCCAAAATAACCAAGTCCAGAGAGATCACTGTGGATCTTCATCAAAACCCTGATCCCTGCCACCAGAGCATGCAACTGGCCCTTGTCTGGGTTATGATAGTCTCTCAACCCAGTGATGGAGACTTCATTGGAATGTCAAGTGAGCTGGCAGAGGTGGCTAATGTTTTATGGGCTGGTAAATGTCTCAAAACAGAAACATATCCTCTGCTGCAATTCTGTGTGCTGCTCTGTCTCTTCTCTCTCCACATGAGGACCTTGAGGCAGGAGTCATATCGATCTTGTTCAGTCTTAGGTGCCCAGGTCCTAGCACAATGTCTAGCATGTGGTAATTGTTGAATGACTGGATGGATAAAAGGAATACAAAGTCAATTGGTGAGCCATTATTGGTATGGTATGTAGCCATTTTTGTTGTGACAACAATCTGATTCTCTAATAGAGTTTAAAAAAAGGTAATATACTTCAAGTTCATATAGCTTTCTGTGGTCATTAGTATTTAAAACTTTCCCCCCAAAATTAACACTTTCAAGAAACAGGAAAAATTCTGGAGAAGTTCACACTAAATGATCTAGGGTAAGATCAGTGTACTCCAGATGTTTCGTAAGCGAAGTCACCCCTCATTCATTCACTGAGATCAAAATCTGACAGTAATATTTGGTGTTTCATTGGAGGGTCATTGGATGGACCACTGCTTTATTTTGTCAATATGCATGTTTTACTTAAAGAGCATTACTTCATGGCACTTTTATAGGTAATAGAACATGGATAATATTGGAGCTCAATGTAATAACTAACGCTCACAACAAGATTCCTAAGTCAAGAAGTGAAGCACATTCTAGGCCCTTTTACTGAGGCAGGGATATACTTAATTTTTTTTTTTATCCAGAAAATGGTTCAGCACATATATGCTTATGTTTTAGCTACCTGTTCACCAGGCTACTGGGTAACACCTCCTTCTACATCAATGCTGGTAAATATAGGATACCACAGTAACAGTGAGAGCTTAATGCAACATGCCTTTACTGAGCACCAGCCAAAAGCCAGAAAACATATAAGGCACTGGTGATATCGAAGTAAGTAAGATAACGTCCCTACCTTCAAAGAGTTCACAGTCCAGTGCTGAGGAAAGCTGTCTGTTGGACAACTAGAATTCTGTGCCAGGTCTGTGGTGACCAGCGAAGTGGAGGAAGTGTCGTCAGCACACAGGAAGGAGGGTATAATTAAGTCTGTGTGGGGAGGGTTGAAGATGGTTTCTCAGAAGAAGTGGGGTTTACACAATGAGAGATCACTTGGTGAGCGTTAAAATGGCCTCTAAGGAATGCTGGCGAGGATGAACAGAAAAGGGAACCCTTGCCCACTGTTGGTGGGACTGTTGACTGGCACAGCCATTATGGGACACTACGGACGATCCTCAAAAAATTAAAAATAGAATTATCATATGATCTAGCGATTTCATTTCAAATTCATAGAAAAAGAGATCAGATTTGTGGTTTCCAAAGGCAGGGGGTAGGAGGAAGGGAAATTTGAAGAAGGTGGTCAAAAGGTGCAGACTTCCAGTTTTAAGACAAATGAGTACTGGGGTACTAGGAAGGTGATGTACAGCCTGGTGATGACAACATATAACATGCAGTAAAGTTGTGAAGAAAGTAAATCTTAAGAGATCTCATCACACCATTTTTTTTCATTTC